GGGGGGGGGGGGGTCCAGATTCAAACACTAACGGCTAAATATATTTAAAACGTATCCGATGACACTCTCAGAACCAACAGGGTTCTAAATAAATTTGTATCAAACTAATGTGCGACCTTATGACCCGAGGCCATTCTGTACCCGAGCTAACGGATGTTAGCAACATTCGGGCCTAACATGGCGGACGTTCCGCTGAAGCTTTTAAACGGCGTAATCTCGGGAGGCACTTCCAACTCTTAAAACAAACCTCATCTGAAGACATTATTGGCGTAAGAATATTGAGAGCCGTCACTAAGACACTCCGATCAGCACCCAAAGCGACTAGACTTCGACGCAAAACCGCGGCGGATATCGCCCTTCCCCCACCCCGGCCTCACGTCGACCGAAAAAAAACGGACACTTACCAAAGGTTTGGAGATTCTGGATAGCGGACATACGATAAGATTGGCTTTCCTTTCGGATAATAACTTGGTGGAGAGCGGCTGACTTTGATTTGTACTTTTCTTCTGTTTTTGGGGGGGTCTGGCCTGGTTGTCGACACCGCTGACGGACTCTGCTCCGGTAACACTCACCAAATGGAGGCTTCGAGCTCGAAAACAAGGTTTTATAGTCCCGCCCCGAAAATGACGTCAGGACGTAGTACACGTTCGAACCAGACGCGGCCGGGAGCCACGCCCTGAAATGTTTCTCAATTTTACAGGAAAAGATGACGTCATCCTGTCGGAACGCGAAATAGCACAATTCAATTTGACCTGTTGTCATAACAGAAGTCGTCTCAGGGCATTGAACAGAAACATTCACATATAAAAATAATAATTAACAGAAACCCAACAATTTTCAGTCACGTCATCAGGACAGTTTCTTTTTTTTTTCTGAAACGTTTCACCTTCCATCCGAAAGGCTTCATCAGTCAAGGAAACACACAACACAAAACTGATTCTTGCCCCAAACAGCTTACTCCAAAGTGGAACAAACCAGTTATATTGGTGCTAAGATGGTGTCTTTGGCACACCCCACCTCTGGAGCCGGCCCTCTTCCTCGTCGACAGTCATGTCAAACTGGTTCAAAACCAAAACAGTCCATGCTCAATAATCCAGGTATACAATCCAACAATTTTCAGTCAGGTCATCTGGACAGTTTTTTTTTTTTTTTTTTCTGAAACGTTCAATTAACAGAAACATTCACATATAAAAATAATAATTAACAGAAACAT